CCGGTCGGGTAGCTGGGTCTCCCCACGCTTTCCGCCCCTCTGCGACGGCGGCTAGACGGGGCGTCGCGCCGCGCCGTAGCCGAGCCTGCAGACCGCCCCCGCCAGCGCCAACCAGCTCCGATTGAATAATTGGCCGGCAATTGGATGATGGCTGCGGACGTCACTGGGCTGCGCTGAGACGGTGCCGGCGGCGGAGGGAGGGGGGGGGGGGGGGGGAGCGGGGCGTGGAGGGCAGAGGGGAGCGGAAACAAAGGGAATCGGAAGCTCCTGGTCTCCCTGCTCTGCCCGGGGGCAGCATGCACGACAACGAAGGGAATTGACGGAGCTCTTTTGTCACGCTAAAGCACACTTCAACGGAAGTTTGTCTGCTTGCTGTGTTTTACCACGAAAGTGGAAAGAGTGACAGGTAAATGCTTTTGCCCCCTGTAAACGGCTTTCGCACTCATTTTGCATCAGTTATTTTTCGTATCTGAAAAGGGAAATTAAAAACAAGTTGGCGCACCAGAGGCAACAAGTGTAGTCTGGGCTCGACTGACGCTAAACCTACCAACTTAACAGACCACGAAGCACCAGAGAAGCTCCCAGTCTCAATGATATTCACGCAAACGCGTCAGCCCGGAAACATCAGAGGGCTTTTGACACCCTCCACTGCCCTGAGTTTAATCAGAATCGAGGTTTGATTTTAACACAGCATTTCAAAAAGTAAAAATATTAGGCTCTTCGAGAAGTATGTATGGTTCCTGATACTGAGGAACGCTGTTCGAAATTCATACCAAGCGGCTGAAATAACTTTATTTAGTATTTAACAGCGAGGTATCAAATTTGTTATAGATAATAACTCACCAAGCCAATAAAACACTTCGTGTTGTCGTATATAATTTCTGCCGTATGCAAGCCGAGGGCAGTGTCATGATGACTCAATGTTGGTTTCAGTCGTGCGATCAGCGTTGTTCTCAGATATTCAAGTTTTTAGCTGATCTACGGCCGTGTACTCCGCTCAACACACAAACACTGCCGACGCAGTAAAAGGAGCTGGGTGGTACTCGGCTATGGGATAACGTCAGGAAAATATATTCCAGTTTCGATTCGGGCAATGTCGAACGGGTCGATTACTAGTACCAAAGCCATTTTGTCAGCACCGCCAAGTTCAAATGCTGCAGAAGCAGGTAAATAAAGTCACATGGGCGGTGTCAGGTTCTTCATCACTGTGCGTGCCACAGCGGACAGCGGTATGCAAAGTGTCGCGCAATTTTTTGAAGCTCCTTTGTAGTTCTGCTTGCACCTACCTGTTTGTCAAACACTAGCCATTTGCGAACCACAGCGATTCTGACATGTAACGACGCAACACATCACACCCGAAACGTAAAAGCAAGACGGCATGGACCACATTCCATTCAAACCTAAAACAGGCTGGCGCACGGCGCATGGGCGCAGCCGCCAGCACGCATGTCCGCTCCCACCGCGAAATCATTTGAACTCATTCCATGGCTGAGAAACACCTGTTAAGATACACGTGAGAAGTTGAGGGCAGGAGGGGTGCTTGCTCCCACACCCACCTTTAAGACTGGACGGGGAGGGGATGCACGTTCAACTATGTTGGGGTTTAGCTTAAAGTTCTGATACATGACGTCGAGATAATTTTATCACAGCAGAAAGAAAGTCTGAGAAAAGTGGAAGTTAGTGTGGATTTCTCTCCTTCCAAATTTTGAACGACTTCCTAAATTCGGTTTCCTTTCACTTTTTCTTCATGCAAATGTCGCTTGATAAGATGGAGAAAACAATTTCATTTTGGTGGAAGAGGGCTGCTTTTTGCCTCTCGGTCAAGATAACACAATATGTCGCCGATGAATAAAATGCATCCTGTTTGTTTACATTTAAGCCAATCATTCTTCATCATCATACAAAGCACACGGACCACATGAGAGGGGCGAGTAAATGTATAGGTGTCTGGCACTCCCACAGACCCAGGGGAGGCTTAGGGACTTCGTGAACAGGAGACCAGTCGGTACGAGTTCGTCAAGTTCGCAACAGATCCAGATTCCTATTGAGATCGACATTCGCAACTCTGACCCGCTATGGGTCCTGTCATGAGTCTCGGCGGTCGAGCTTTAGTGTCCGTTGTGATGAGGAGATCCATATCTATCTTTTACGCAAGTCTTTGCGACAACCTAAGGCTTCCGTTTCGAATGTTCTGACCTTACACTACTCCTACAACTCCGTTCATCGGCAATAGTAGCAGGAAGACCTGAGGCACCTACAACTTCGTTCATCGGCAGTAGGAGCAGGGAGACCTGAGGGAAGTTGTGTGTCGATCTCAGTTTTTGCTTAAGGCAATCTGAACGTCTCGTTAGATGTGTGTTTGAAACGTTTTAAGACGTCGTGAGCATACCGATACACCCGACGAGGGCAATAGTTCGAACATCTGCCCCGACGGCAACACTAACGTCTCGTCTCAATCATTCCGTAAAAAGGAATAAGCAAGTTTTGTGCTGCGCGTCTCGACTACGTTGAAAGAGCACGAACTTGTCTAGATTTCGAACTGTTTTAATAATGTTACTTCAGTCATGCGGAAATAATATGAGGGCCACAACTTTAGAATGAAATGAAATACAGCCCACCCCCAGCGCGTACATTATTTTGGGCCTTTGGGTATAAAACGTCACGTGGAAATGTGGCTGCTCCTATACAAGTCCAAGCCACCAAGCAAATTGTCCTCTTTTTGAAAAATCACGGATTTATATGGGTGCATTGATTCAGTCCGACTGAAATCCAACAAAACAGTGTCAGGCGACACGCCCAGTTTTGTTGCAGTGTGGCGACCGTTTTACTATTGCTGCCATTAAAGGGTTCGACTGCATTCCCACGGTCAAAAGCGTAACACTTCCTTAATAACGGACCCAGTTTGAAGAAAAATATGCCATTTTTGCACCATAATTGGCTTATTTTACACGTGCTGCAATCTCATTTCTCACAAAAGTTTGTTGGTGGGCGCAGCCTTTACAATGGAGGTAAGAGCATTATGTGTTAAATAAAACATTACATGCAACTGCCCAATCTTTCAAAAAGACCGGCTTCAAGTCTGCACACCACTTCAGTCTTAAAAACAAATATGTCCCGACAACCAATCCATTTTCCGTTGGATGCGCAAATTCGGAGTTCATGGAAAGGCATGGAACTTGAGCGCTTCAGGCCCGGGCAAGGCTTCTCACTCGGAAAAGCCTGCTTCTCCAAGAAATCCAGCGGAAATCGCCCTCGTCGCGGCTTCAGTCGCACGGACCCGAACAAATCGCCCTCGTCGCGGCTTCAGTCGCACGGACCCGAACAAATCGCCGTCGTCGCGGCTTCAGTCGCACGGACCCGAACAAATCGCCCTCGTCGCGGCTTCAGTCGCACGGACCCGAACAAATCGCCCTCGTCGCGGCTTCAGTCGCACGGACCCGAACAAATCGCCGTCGTCGCGGCTTCAGTCGCACGGACCCGAACAAATCGCCCTCGTCGCGGCTTCAGTCGCACGGACCCGAACAAATCGCCCTCGTCGCGGCTTCAGTCGCGCGGACCCGAACAAATCGCCCTCGTCGCGGCTTCAGTCGCACGGACCCGAACAAATCGCCGTCGTCGCGGCTTCAGTCGCACGGACCCGAACAAATCGCCCTCGTCGCGGCTTCAGTCGCACGGACCCGAACAAATCGCCCTCGCCGTCGCCGCGGCTTCAGTCGCACGGACCCGAACAAATCGCCGTCGTCGCGGCTTCAGTCGCACGGACCCGAACAAATCCCTTCGCCGTCGCTGCCGAGATCTCGAGTCATTCAGTAGTGGATCGCCTAACCGTCAGAAAAAAAGACGCAAAACTGCACCTGCATCATAAAGGTGTGTTCCTGACCTGAAATCCCAGGACATAGAGAAAATGATAACGATTTGGCTGTGTGGTGATCCTCATGCATGGTTTTATCAGACCATTTTGGTTCGAGGAACACATTGACCGCACGACTGCGGTGAATACGCAGCGATTACTTGAAGTATTGACTTCTTATTGAATAAGTATCGACTTCTTCCTGTGGGGTTACCTACAAGGCCTGGCCTATGAAGATGGCCAGACCATCGCTTCGCTTAGGTCAAAACAGCAATAGAGGGTAAGATGCAACCCCCCCCCCCCCCATCACTCCACGTTATGAACAGCTTTGCGCAGGGCATTGATGTATGCTTGAGCCGCCGGGGCGATATTTTGGATATTTAATGACAGTCCTGAATACACACGAGACATCTCATCGTTAGAAAACGTAGTGCACTAAACATACAGATCATTGAACATGCTGCGTAAGATTCTGACATTGTTAAAACAATAGACAAATCAGCCATTTCCAATGTAACGCCTCACCCAATTCACCGTTTTCTCGGAAACACCAGTGGGTGAGCCTCAACGAGATATCCCGATTAGTAACACGTGCCATGTTTTAGGTCTGCTGTTTTCGGAAAAAATGAAGGGATGACCCCACTGTTCCAGATCAAAGGTTAAGTTTTTCTCAGAATCTAGCTTTTTAGCTTTACATACTCATATGTACAAGACTATGTTTACCTTGTGGCGACATTTCATTTAAACAGGCGTGCCCCTTGTTCAATCTGAATACAATGGTGCATAGTGCTATGTTTATGATGTACCGCTCTACTGATACAACAACGTATTCTCGCCGCGCGCGTCCCGCAGCATCGTCGGTTGCCGCCCGCCGTCCGCTCTGGCCGTGGATGACCGTGCAGTGTTGTCCAAAAACCGCCGCTGCTCCGAAACTAGAAGTGGTGGAGACACATTTTTTGGAGTTAAAACACGCCGGGTGCTCCATAAGCTATCACAAATTTGGGCCCGATTGTACAACATGCCGGGAGCTATCTTCAGAAAACCTTAAGGGGGCGGGTCACCTCGATCCCCTTCCTGTCGGAACATCATATTGCGTGCATCTTACATACACATTACGTACATATTAAACGTCATATCTGTGTTTGGCTCATTCAGCACTTATCATCCACACTTTTTTGTGTATCCAGAACAAATGGTTGGAATGTTGTGTTACCAGCTTGGCTTATATGTAGAATATTTGTTCAGGTTTTTTCATTAAATGTATGGGTCCAAAACATAATGATTTACCCGGCACAAAACAACTTATTTTTTGATCAGCTTAGCGGACTGACTTAGTCGTACGTTTTTATATATTCGGCTAGCTACGTGCGCATCAACGAGTTGGCCTGATTTGCGACTGGACCTAATACATATATTTGCTACTGGCTCGGTGGCTTATATGTTCAGCTGCTACTTTTTTCGAAAAAAGTGAAATGAAAAGACGCATGGACTGCCGCGTCTTTGCAAACCGGGCGACGCAAAAAGCCCCGCTCCCGTCTGTCCAAGTTCGGCCATTATGCTCCATCTGATCCAGTTCGGCAGCCATATTCCCGTTCAGTCCAGCTCAGCAGTCATACTCAAAACGCGCACTCCACTGCCGGTATTTTACAACGCAAATGCCGCGAAATGTCAGAAAACGCACCACAGGAGCGCACACGTTCCTGAAATTTCCCAAAACTTTTCGGGATCCTACGCATGATAAAGCTGCCCGCAAGCCCCGCTGAACTTCAGTAAAATGAGACAAAGGGTCGAATCGGCCAGCTTGACACGGCCCTCTCTCCCAGCCGACGCACGTGGCGAGCGGAACGTCCCAGCGCAGTTGCCATAGCCAGCCGGCAGATGGCAGAAACTCCGTGCCCCTGGTAAGTACTTGAAGTCAGTCGCTACCAGCAGATGGCAGGCGCACCGCAGGACTTGCCCCAGATCTCAGCAATGCGAACCGGTAGGTGGCGCCACGTTTTCTTTCAAGACGAGAACGGAGCGCTGTAATGGTTGATTCACCCTCCGCCAGACGGCAGGAGCTTCGTGCGAACGACGCCAAGCTGAACGGTGTCCGAAGCGACCTGACACTCGGCCCTGAGCGCACCCAGCGCGAACGCGCAAATGTCGGAGCTCCTTCAGTCCAGTCGATGGGTATATAGATTTTTCACGCCAATCACTTTAATAAGGCATACTCGCACAGAGAGCTTAAATAAAGCACTGGGGGTGGTTCGCAGTATCGAAATGCCTCAAAAGGGGGCAATGCGACCCCTACAAAAACAGGCACACTTATAACGCATCACGATTCACCCACATGTCAAGCACCCGCGTTGAAGTCATCGCGTCCTTGACATCTGGTTTGGCGACCTGCCCCTCTCGATGCCGCCTGCCTCCTCGTCACGAGATGAACGCCTCCTGTGTCAGCCGCTGTTCGGCTGGGGATGCAGCTGGAGACTGCGTCCCCTCCAGTTGGACATGGCACTGTCTCCCGGCCAGCGAGCTCTGTCTGACGGCAGCTGTGGCCAGCAAGGCCTTTGTCCGTCAGGTGCCCGCTCCCCCTGCCATCTGGCCCTCCGTCCGTCTGTCCGCTGTGCCGTCGCCTTCGCCGTCGCACCCGCCGCTGCTACCACATTCGTCACCGTCGTCGTCGCCGTCGTCGTCGCCGTCGTCGTTGTCGTCGCCGTTCGGCTGGTCGGTCGAGGCGCCGCCTAGTTTATCGCCGCGGCGTCGGGCCACCTGAGCGCGACGCAGCTCCCGCACCGCCATCCCGCCCGTCAGCACGGCCACGGCCACGTTGAGCGCGGCCAGCACGGCGGCCGTGCGCGGCATGCCGTAAAGGTCGGCTACCCGGCCGCCGGCCAGCGGGCCGACGACGTTGCCGGCGGCGAACACGAGGCCGATGCCGCTGGCCACGGCCGCCTTGGCGGTCATGTTCGGCTGGGCGGCCAGCAGGCGGCCCACGATCGGCACGTAGGCCCCACCCTGCGCCACCTGGCGCACCAGCAGACCGGCGGCCAGCAGCGCGCGCGACGGCGTCAACCCCATCCGCGGCGGCGGCAGCATCAGCAGCAGGCCCAGCGCGTCGGCCAGCAGGCAGCCGGTGGTGAGGAGGTGCGTGGCCGAGACGTGGTCAGCCAGGCGGCCCCAGGCCAGGCCTGACAGCGAGTAGCAGGCGGACGAGCCGAGGAAGAAGAGGCTCAGCTCGGCCGGCGACATAGCCAGCTGTGTGTACACCCACGGCGCCAGGTTCGGGTCGACGGCCGTCCAGTTCATGGCGACCATGAGCACGACGGCCACGCTGATCCAGGCCTCGGCCGAGCCGGCGAACTGACGCAGGTGGGCGGCCGAGCGGCCCCCTCCGCCGTCACCGCCGGGCCGCCCGCCGACTGGCACCAGCCACGTGCTCAGCGTCGCCACCACCACCATGCCGCCGCCCACCGCGAAGAAGGGCACGCCGTAGCCGCCGGCGGCGTACAGCAGGCCGCCGAGGCCCTGACCGAGAGACATACCGAGCGCGATCGCCGTCTCGATGACGCCGAGCGCACTGCTGGCGCCGCCCGGGAACTGGCTGGCGGCCAGCGTACGCGCCGCCGTCTGAAGGGCAGCCGTGCCAGCCGCCTCGGCCGCCCGCAGTGTCACGCAACCGGCCAGGAACGCGGCCGTCGACCGGACGAGCGGCACCAGACCGAACGCGATCGTGGTGGTGCCGGCCAGCGCGAGGCCGGCGCAGAAGGCGCGTCCGACGCCGACCAGCGGCACCAGCCGGCCGGCCACCGGGAACAGCACCAGCTGCGTCAGCGCGTAGCTGCTGAAAACGAGACTGCTGGCGGCGTGGCCGAGGCCGCGGCGCGCCGCCTCCTGCGGGAAGAACGGGATCATGACGGCGATGCAGCAGCCGGCTAGCAGGCAGCCGCTGAAGAGGCCCAGCCACAGCCGCCGCCGGCCACCGCCGGCCCCGGGCGCATGACTCGAGTCGGAGTCCGAGTCCGAGTCGGCGCAGCTCGGCTTCAGCGGAGCGCTCGGCAAAAGCGGAGCCGTCTCCGAGCAGGCGGAGGGCGAGCCGGGGGGCGCCATGGCTGATCGGGCGGCCGGCGGTCGCAGACCCTCGCACCGCGACACCACGCACCGACTGGCGCCGGCCGGCCGCTCGGCCGCGGCCGGCCCGGCGTTCACCTGGCGACCGCCGCGGGCGCGGCTTACGACCTCGTCCGGCCGGACGCCGGCGGATAGTGAGCGCTGAGCTCCGCTGACAGTTAGCTTATCATCAGCCAGCTGAGCCTGCCAGTCATCAGGATGAGCTCCTGTCGAAGCAGGCAGTCATGAATCATGTCATGCCATTGCGCAGAATAACGAACAAACATCGGGATTTCTGTACGGCCTGTGCTCAGGTCGGAACGTCGCCGTATTGACGTCCTCGTTCCTCGAATGTGTTTGCGCCCAGTAATGCGGGTGCTACGATGTGGACACAATGGTATTGTGAAGGCAATACATTAAACTATTATTACGTAATAATCCGCGCAAAGAGGGAATACTGGGCCAAATAAATGCAGAACAATTTTTTCAGCTACCGGTATGCTAGGTAGAAAGTACCTAAACACATCACTCTTAGTATCATGCAGATTTTGTACCAAATAGTATCCTGCAAACAGGAATGCAGTTTCTCATATCCATGATGGTTATATGATGTGATCAAAGACAGCGGTAGTCAGCAGTGACTCCTTACTAAGATTTACTCAGATGTGTTTTTTTCCGTGAATTACACCTCATTCTAACCTTTTCACAAAAAGCCAGCTTTCGTCAGCTTGAAATGGGAGGTCATTCTTCCCCTGAAAACAAAACTGAATCTATGAAATATTAAACAGTATCTGTTTTAATTTCAGCGTCAAAGAATCAGATACAGATGGTCGAAGTCCGGGGAGAAATGTTTTGGGCAAAAGTGAGGTCAACTTTTTCGGCTGAGCCCTCGCAATCGATTTTAGAAAGTGCCGGTCCTGACCATAATGTTTCGCACACTCATCACAGCCAGCAACACACCAGGGCGCTAAGCTTCAGGTCAAAGCCGGATCCCTTTGCGAAATCAGCGCGGCTATGCAGGGCTGTAGCGATGGTCGGCTCCTCCCTTTAACTGTCGGATGCCATTCAGCGAGCACATGGACTCCAATCCGCGGTCGACGATTGCTAGTGATCCGGCCCGTGCTGACCTCGGCTGGGCGCGCTGCTGCGTTACGTAACAGCGGCACGCGGTGAGCCGGCGCCAGGTGAAACCGGGCCGCGCGTTGCGGGCGCCGTGGCCGAGGCTTCTTGATATGGATTATTGGGGCTCGTGGCCGACCAATGCAGAGCATGGAATGGGCCCGCCTTTGTCTTCTTTTTCCCGGCCTTGTGCTTAGGAGCGTGCTGGTAAAACACAGAACCAGCAAATTGAAAACCTTTTGCGGCCCATTCTACCGCCGTGAACATATAACGTCCTATATCGCTAGCTAATGATCCGCGAACTGTTAGCACGTAACATGGTCCCTGACGCAGCCCACGCCACCTGACAGCACTCCAACTGTCAACCGGTTTTTGAACGCCTGCCTGGCTATAACAACGGCCGAGGCCCAGTCTCATGACACGAACTTGGCGGGCTTGCCAACGCTGGGATGTGGCCGAAAGACTGCGGAAGCCTTCGAGGACCTCGTCAAACCTTTCTGACTTGGAGCAGCACAAAATTCAACTCCCTTGGGAAAAGTAGGCTGGGAAGCGGCGTTACCGACAGCAGAAAGGCAGTGACAACGGTTAGATAGATATGCAGGATTTCCTGAATGAGGGACCAAAGCAACGAGGACAAGGCATTTTCCACGTTTTTCTCTAAGACATATGAAATGTAGAACATATTCTCGAGGCCACGTAAAATCCATGCGGACAAAAACAGAAGAGAAGGGTTGTACCCTATGACTCATCCCCACATAGTGATGCCTCTGGTAACGATAATGGCTTTGCGTTCACCTGACTGAAAAACAACGTTTTGCTGTCAGGGCGTTGCGCTGGTTGCATTGGGTTTATAGCCCACTTCTAAAACGGGGGCATGGGACACAGGATCTGCCTCTTGATTGTGTAAAACATACAGGAGGCCTGAAGAAACCATAGATACACAATGCATACAAGGAAAGCTCAAATATTAATGCCATCGTGTTTCCTATATGTAGCCAAAACAGCCGTAAATAAGATCGCAAGCCTTACAAGGGCTACATGCATGATCATTTCCTGGGAATTCTTAAGCGTTTAAAACTATGCAGAAACTTCCCGAAGGCGGTTACGGCGCAAGGCGCTGCTTTGGCAATTTTTGTCAGACAGTGTGACGTACTCGCGATTTGTTACACGAAAATGGTATTACCAATCTGTTCTCGCTACTGCCAAATTTTCACCGACACAGGCAAGCAGTGGCAGCTACGGTACCGCATACCCAACCGCTCGGCTTCTGCTTACGGCTTGCGGCTGGGGTTTGGCCATATTGTGAGCTTTATTTGTGCCTGTCCAACTAGCAAGGGCCATTAGAGATGGAGGTCACATCCAACACAGTCATGAATCCACATCAAATGGACCTTCGGGACTGTCGTAAAATGAATCAAGTCTATTGTCATTCAATGGTGATATCAGGTCATTCAGTGCCAAGGTAGCGCCATTTAAAGCTTTTGGATGGGTCTTAATATTATGATGCATCTTTCAGATACTTCGTTACCTGAATCATTTACAAAAAATCACAAACAATCACTAACAATTTCACCATAACCAGTTGACAATCACTAACAATCACTAGCATAAACATCCAACTGTACAAAACGTTAGTAAAGCCGTGAACAAAGTTTCCAGCAGAAGAAAACTGCAGACCACTGATAGTTATCGAATCAGCAGAGGCCGAACGAATTTCAAGTCTTTAAGACACACATTCTGATTTATTATATACGACATTCCATTGTGTGAGTATCTTCTATGCTAGTGTCATTGCCTGCCGTTTGAATTTTTCATGTGCCGACCGAATTTGTTGACATCCATTGCGAATACGCCATTGTCAGCCTTTCAAATTGTCTGTCGTGGCGTTTTGCTTTTCTAAGATCATTTGAAAAATATTACAATCACCACGCTGTTCTTCTCTTGTTTTGCACAGTTAGGCTTTTGTTCGTCAGCGTACCTACATATAATTCATATTCAAGGTCCTAGAACTGCCACTCATGTTTTCGCCGCGAAAGGCTCAACAAGATGTACATACCTAAATATAGGCACTCCTTATTAAACCACACCGAATAATTTTTCTAACTAAGATAGAAAGAGAACAATGTGCCAGTGATACACGCATGGCTTTCCAACGACGCATTAAAAATCGCTTTAAGACGTTTTACGCCTAACACATTTAACAACAAGACTCCAAATAGAAGGAAAGGAGGAAAGGGGCAAAAAAGTCGCAAGTTTGAGATCATATATCATGCATATCACAATGCATTGAAAATAACAAACGGTTTCACATATACAGGTCTGACGTATCTTTTCAGCTTGCCGCACTTTCCAGGCGAACCATATCGAAATAGCACTTTTTGCGAGGTGACTTTGTCTAGTCAAAGCCAACTTTTCCTGCAGTGCACACTGAAATGACCAGGGCTAACACGTTGTGAGGCCTAAGAGCTCCTACGACTTGAAAAATCAACAAATGAATGACATGTAGGAAAAATGCTCTTGACATGCCTTTTCGACAGCTGTTGACAGCCGTTGATCTTTAATTACACAATATCACTGAGACCATACTTTGCCAAGAATGCAGATTCAGTCATTGAATGTAACCAAATTCAGGTTTGAAGTGAAGGTTTTTTCAAAGATTTAGACTAAACTTTTTGACTGGAGAATTTCTGGTATCGGCGCCCACGTTAGGCAGCGCCTGTTGCATTAACCCTAACCCCATCATACGATCAAGAAACGCCTGGTCAACAGCAGTGTTACGGCGAAAGCTCAGCATGCCACAATGCTCGGCACCATACGCTCCACCCTCTGACGTCACCTGACCCGTGGCGTGGGCCACTGTCACCGGCCGCAGAGCTTCCTGGTCGGGAGCAGATGGCGAACGCTAAAAAAATCGATAACGCAGATACCGGAAGGATCTAGACTTTAATTTTGCGGGGCAAACCGCTGTTGTAGAACGTCATTTAAACACCTAGTGGCTCTCACACCCACACCCAGGCACGCTTTTGTATATATACATATATATATATATATATATATATATATGTATATGCATATATCTGTATAGATCAATGATTGACGGATGCATGATTGTTATTCCCCGTTACGGGCATATGTCATGTGCACAGCTTCGCTGCGACGCGCATGCGCACTGAACTCTCCGTGACCTCATGGGCCCATTCAACGAGTGGAGAGACACGGAGGCTGACAGCTGAGCTCTAATACCGGGTCGGATTTGGTCCGGTCTCGTTGGTCTGGTTTGGTTGGTCTGCTTGGCTGATCTGGTTTGGTTTGGTTTAGATTAGAGTTTCTTCGACCAGAAGTGATCATTCGAGGGCTGATATAATAGGGCGCCAGCCCACTCATGGCTGGCGCGTGCAGCTCGCCCCGAATAAACGGGACGTCGCTAAGACGCAGGATAAAATGAAAATGAAATAAGCGAGGATGGCCGCGTTGGGTGAGCCCGCCCCAGAAACAGGCTACCGTGTCGGGTCCGAACCGCGCCTACCCCAGGAACAGGCTACCGTGTCGGATCCGAACCGCGCCTGCCCCAGGAACAGGCTACCGTGTCCGATCCGAACCGCGCCTACCCCAGGAACAGGCTACCGTGTCGGATCCAGACCGCGTCTGCCCCAGGTACAAGCTGTCGTGTCGGATCTAAACCGCGCCTGCCCCAGGAACAGGCTACCGTGTCCGATCCGAACCGCGCCTGCCCCAGGAACAGATTACCGTGTCGAATCCAGACCGCGCCTGCCCCAAGAACAAGCTGCCGTGTCTTGTGCGAGATGTCCAACTCAGATCGTCGCAGCAGTCGTGTTTGGAAGCACGGAGGACAGCACTCATTGAACCGCAGACGTCATGTCAGCCCAACGCATGACGCAGCGTGGCACAACGCTGAGCTGCCTTTGTGCTTGGAAAGAAAATAAACAAAAGATCAAAGCAACATGTTCTCGACAGTGCGCTGTCTTCGCGCATACATAGGC